ATAGAACTGCCCGGTAAACCGTAGGCAGAGAGGGAGAAGAGGACAACAAACGAGGGGCTGTGACAAACTGTTATATATATATATATATATATATAGAGAGAGAGAGAGAGAGCAATGGAGGCTGGCAGTAAGCATGTCCACCAGACACTCCTGGGAAATGGCATGTTGGTCGCAGGCTTACTGAAAGGAAGAACCAGCATCACAGAAGACCATGCATTCGTTCTACTGTTCCTGGCCCCAAAATACATGTGCTGTCTGGATTCAAAGGGTGCAAATTGAGGAGAAGGTCCCACCCAATGGAAGACATGCTGATGAAGCACTGGCAGGATAAGATGGGGGTGACCCTGGCACGGCCACCTGGCATACCATGGCCCCAACTCCACACAATCAGATTAGGGAAAGTAAGAAGCTTGCAATGGCTAATTCTACATGTTGCGTTGCCGGTTAACACGTGGTTAATGGCACGCAGAAGTAGAGAGCATAGAGACCCGCGGAACGAGCGATGCAAGGTGTGCACAGAGGATACGAGAGAAACGATGAATCACTGTCTCAGAGAGAGCCAGAATGCAAAACAAATATGGCGAATGGTAAAGGACATCTGGGCAGAGATCTCAAAAGCCTCGTTCCCGGAAGCAGCTCTGTTACTCACAGGAAACAACCCGCCGGCCAAATGGACAACCTCTGAGAAAGGAATTTCCAACTGCTCAGGCAATATGGACTCTGGACAATATGGAGGAGAAGATGCCAACACATGATAGACAATAGTCAACTGGCGGTCCAGGAAGCATGGGAGATCCTCAGAAACCTGCTGGAAATGGATACAAGAGCCCAATGGAAGAACCAACATAACCAAGTGGTTGCCCAAGGCCTCGTCAAAAGATTCACGCAAGAGGTGCTGGGGCAAGGGAAGGTGCAACCATAGACAGGAACCGATTAATGTACAAATGGGGCTACTACATAACCAAGTTTCTCCCACGGGTGTACCTAATTCATCTTCAGAAGTTCACTACAGGGCAGAGGGATTGTGGCAGATGAAGGAGTGGCCAAAGCAGCTGGAGGGTTTAGGGCTTAAGCTGTTGAATCTGATCCGGTAGATCTTAGGGATTACAGTATGATGAGCCTTCGGGGTCATGCAGCCAGCAATTGAAAATAAAACCTTGGAGGGTAACAAGGGTAGCCAAATAGAGTTAGACAAGCCGTAGGCAGGATAGCAGGCAAGGTCCAGAGTTAAGTATTGAAGCTTAAGCAGGGGTGTGGGGTGGTACATCCTTCCTAAGGGAGGGGTCATCAACGCTGTCCACTCGGGACTCCCACTGTTGCATACAGTATAGGTGCAGACCAGAACAAGAACCGACCTTTCAATACAAGGTATAAGATAGCACAG